GAGATGCCTGTGGCTTGGGGCGGGACAGTGGCAGCGGAGGCTCCCAGAAGACGCTGGATTCTGCATGTCTTCTGCAGACAGAGCTGATGGGATCTGTTGACTGGGTTGGATAAGAAGGGTAGAGAACTAAAGGAGGCAAAGTTTCTTCCACCAGGGCCCCATTAACAGGATGGGTGGAGATTGGGGAAACCTGGGGGGAAGGGCAGGAGCTCAGTATTGGCCGAGTTAAGTTCAAGGTGTTAGACATCCGCATGGAGCTTGCTGTCAGCCAGCAGCTGGATATACGTGTCTGGAGGGCACAGGAGAGGGCTAGTCTGCAAATAGTTACTTGAGACACCTTGACTTACAGCTTGTATTTAAAGTTACGAGGCAAGTGACCAGGTGCAAGGACTGAGCCCTGGGACCCTCTCGCATTAAGAGGCCAGGGAGAAGCAGCCCTGAGGTCAGAGTTACTTAAGGAGAGCTGTGTACTAGAAGCCAGGGGAGGACGGATTTCCAGGAGGTGGGAGAGAGTTGATCCCTTGTCAGAGACTGCAGCTTGGGCAGGTCATCTGAGAATGAGACCCTACCATTGGAGGTCACTGGTGACTTTGGCAAGAGAGGTTCTCTGGCCAGTGGAGGAGAAGTTTCTGCTAAGACCAAAAAATGGCCCCTCTGGGTAGATAAATTAGAAAAAGGCCAACACAGCCCAGGGTCCTGTGCCTGGGCCAGCAGAGGGTGACTGACTGGCCTCCACCCAGCACCTTTGTGTGGGGCTTCAACAGGCTAGTCACAGTCAACACCAGGGCATTAAGCTCTCAGTCTACAGAGGAAGGCTGGCGGGGCGCAGTGCCCCGGGTGTCTGCACACCTCCAAGTGCTGCCACTAGAGGGCGGCCATGTGCCCTGGTGGATTCCAGGAACAAAGAAGCCTCAGAGAGAAGGCAGGAGGGCTGAGTGGCTCAAGGAATCTGCTCATTTCATCTGCAGGAGGGATATCTGCATCCTTCTGAGAAGCTGCCAGCCCTTCCCTGTGAGGCTCAGTGTGACCTGCGACTGTTTGTGTGTCAGGACTTGTTCAGAGCCTCTGGGTTAGTTAGAGGGTGCAGCGGGGAGGAGGACGATTTCTCAGGTTGCTGACTCCTGGGCAGTGAGCAGCGTGCCACCAGCTGAGCCGCCACATTCAGACACACGCCTTGTTCCCTGGGGCTCATTCTGGCAAGTTAGGCACAGAGGGTCCCTGCTCACCCTAGACTCTTACCGGTTTCCCTTTGTTCCCTTTCATTTTGTTTTTCCCTTTAATTTTTCTCAATTGAAAAAACAAAAAAACACTCTAGAAGTAAAACATGCCCAGCAAATAGAACAATGGAGAAAGGCATAAAGTAAGGGATAGTAGGGCCCCTCCCTCAGTCTCCAAATACCCCCAAAGTGACTGCTGTGACCTCTTCCAGACATTTCCTGGGCAGTTCAAGCCCCCTACCTCCCTGTCTGCAGGCGATGGCACCATGTATCCTGTCCCATTATTTGCTCTTACACTGTAGCCTCTCGAGGGCTTCACTCTGCATTCAGTCCATCCAGCTCTGCCGCATTCTCCCCACAGCAGCCATGGGTCCACTTAAGTACCCCTGCTCCATTACCATTGAGGTTTGAGGTTGTTAAAGAGGGTGTTCTGGTGAACTCCTTTGCTTTTCTTTCTGCGTTTTGAAAATTATGTCCAGAGAATAAGTTCTTATACGTGGAATTTCTGAGTCCAAGCATTGGGACCCTTAATTTTGAGACACGCTGCCAGTCTGGCCTTCTGAAATGAGTGCCCGTTTACCTGCCCACCAGCCAGAGTACCTGTTGGGGACTGCGTGTCTCCCCCAACACCAGTTTCTTAAGAGTGAGCCAGCCTGGAGGTGGTGGCCTCACTTCAGTCCTGGATCCTGCCTGGTGACGTGGTTTAGCTGGCTATTCCAGATGGGCAGCCTCCAGCGGGCCAGGAGGCCTGGGGGCCTGGCCCCGACTGGCCGCTGCCTGCGGGGGGACTTTGGTGGGGCTCTTGCTGCCTCATCTCGAGGAGACTCTGGGAGAGTTTTAATCGAGTCTAGCCATGGTTCTGTCCCGCAGGGCACTGAAAGTTTTTTAACCACAACTGAAAATAAGTGTCTCATAGTGACCAGAATTTTGTGAAAAAGTTTCACAAAATGGTACTCCCCCCTCATCACGTGTGGTATACTTGGAAATAAAGATTTTTCCCTTTATTTTTTAAAAATGCTAGTCAAGGGAATTGGCAACTCTCTGTCTCCCTAAGAGGCCCCTAGGAGTTCTGAAGAGTGCATCCTGGGGTCGGGTTTCCCCGTGGCCGCAGAGACCTGGAGAACATCCCCTGCGGACAGGGCGTTAGAGTGAGGCCAGAGATTGAGTTGTGAAGACGAAGCTGACAGGAGACACTGACCTGTCCTTCACAGCCCTCCAGGGCTTCTCCCCTTAGGCTCCTCCAAACCTGTGTCCCTGCCTGTGGGACACCCAGTCCCTTTCCACCCAGAGTGTGGGCCAGGCCCTTTTTGGCTGTCACCCTTTCGTCATCTCACGGTGGGGCGAGGGACACAAGAGCAGGGTGGGACCTGGAGGAGGGCCTGGGAGCCCTGCGCCCCACGCAGCTTCTGTGAAGGATCCTTCCTTCCCACCCTCTGCCTCCTAACTTTCTCTTGCTGGAGCTGGAAGTGTGGCCTTCCTCTCATTATAGAAGCTGCCTGGCCTAATTATAGCCTGGGCTAATTTGTTAATGGCTTTGGGAACTGAGAGCCCCTGCCTTGGGCAGGATCACAGCTCCTGGGGGCATGCAGGGGAGTTTTGCCAAGGAGAACTGGGTGAAGGGATGTGAGTGTCCCTTGGCCTGTAGGGGGTGGGTGATGTGGCCCCCTGGGGAGCCCTGTGTCCAGTTGGCCCACAGGGCTCTGTCCGAAGGCTTCTCTGTCCACGGGTTGTCAGGCTGGATCTCTCCCCTTCCCAGGGGTCCCGGGAGCCCCTGATACACAGCATCATCCAGGGCTTTGCCATTTGCATTTAAATAGAATTATTTAAACAAATGGTCCTTAAATGCTTTTAAATATTTTTTTAATTGAAGTACAGGCAGTTACAATGTATCAATTTCTGGTGTACAGTGTAATGTTTTAGTCATACATATACATACATATATTCGTTTTCGTATTCTTGCTTTCAATTGTAGCTATAAAATATTGAATTATAGTTCCCTGTGCTATACAGATTAAATTTATTTTTTATATATTTTGTATTATAGTAGTTAATATTTGCAAATCTCGAACTCCCGATTTATCGCTTCCCACCCCCTTTCTCCCTGGGTGACCATAATTTTATTTACGATGTCTGTGAGCCTATTTCTGTTTTGTATATAAGTTCA